ACCCCTTTTAGGAACGTTGGCAGGTTGTGGGGTTACTGGAACCAAGCACCCTTGTTGCTATTAAAACTTTTTTTTATTTTTACCTGGATCTCCCGAAATGGCTTCGAAAGGTTTTTCTGCCACCACATTTAATTAATGACAAGTGTAGTGAAGCTATAATAGGGCTTATAACCTCTTTTAGGGACGTAGGCTGGTTGTGGGGATGTTGTATAAGGTTTCTATTCTGCTGGATATTGTTTCTATTCTGACTTTTTTTGTTATTGCCTAGATCTCCCGAAATGGGTTCGAAAGGTATTTCTGCGGCCACATCTTTTTGAATTCGAATTACTTTACAATTTTTCTCTCTGTCTGGCCAGAGATGGAAACTTCAAAATTAATGTTCGACTCTCTGCCTGACCATGGTTTAGTATCCAGCTAATTATTTTACGCAGAGATGGAAACTTTTGATTATTAGGAAAATCGATTATTTCTTTCCAATTGGAAATTTTCTCATCACATAAATATAAAATATATGTAATTTTTTTATAGCCTATGTTGAGGCACTTTGCCATAATCGTAACTGTGTTTCGTGCAGGAGAGAGTCACACTTTTACCTTTTCCCAATTTCACTCTCTCATTGCATTGTTTTTCAATGGTGCTGATTGAGTGTGTTATTAAAATTATGCTCTATGAACACACTCTACTAAAACCAACAAATGTTCTTATCCAGGGCTGAAAAATCCAAATTATTTGTTCTATCAAAAGGCATAATCCAGATTATATAGGAACGAACTCATTATAGAAATATTTTTTTTATACTTTTTTTTTCGAATGCTCCATTGTGGTGCATCATACCGCTAGGGCCCTTTGATATATATTTTATGCGAATCTTCCATTTTTTTGGTTTATTCAATATTTCAGTAATTTACTCAATTGCCCATCTATTTAAAAATTAATTTTTCATAAAAAATAAAAAATATTTTCAATAAAATAGACATAAAATTACATTTTTGAAAAAAATCGATAGCATAGAAGTAAAAAATATATATATTTTTTCATATAAAAATGTATTGGATAATTTTCTTAAAAATTTTCAACGATTCCCAGAAAATTTCTAAGGATTTCTCAAAACTCCTTGGTGAGTAATGAGAAAATTTATTAAAAATTTTTAAAATATTTCGTTTTTATAGTAATTTTTTATTTTTGTTTTTTCACCTTGGCTTCGAAGTAAGCAAACATTATGCGCAATTTTTCGGAAAAGAAATCTTCATAATTATTCATTTCTTTTCTTTGTGTATTTTAACCTTCAGTTTTTCTTTGGGGTAAAACTGAATCGAAAATCTTCTTGTCATAGACCTCCAGCTGACGACATCTACGGCTACACAATAATGGCAAATATAGAGTCGCTGAAATAGTCATCATCGTCACCGATCGATAACATATAACTGGGAATATTTTAGCAAATGTTTGTTGTATTGGGTGGTTTTTCTTGTTTGTAAATATGGTAGAATTGAAAATGGCGTAAGAATGGTAAAAGTAAGGATTTAAATGAAAAAAAAAAAATGTTTGCATGAAATTTGGTGAGTTTTTTAATAAATTTTCTCCGAAATTATTCTTGTGAAAAATTTGTAGGTATTCTTAAAATGATAGGGAAATAATGCAGTTGTATCATAGAAAACAAAAAGTCTGCTTAAGAAAGACTTCCAAACTTCCTAATGTGAAGAGGGAAGTCTTCTTGCAATAGATTCACAGGTCTCCTTATAAGCGATTTCAAGTTATAGCCAGAAGTCTAAAAGGCTTTTTCTTTGAAAAACTAACACGTTAGTCTAAACACACTTAGAGGCCAAAAACCCTTTTAAAGACAATCGAAAGACTTATGATAGAAGATTTTTTCTAACAGAAATCTTCTTACAAACAACAAAAATTATGGTTCTGTAAGTGTGAGAAAAGATTTCCCGCAGAAAACATGGAAATGTTTTTTATAAAAATTCAAAATTTCAGTGTTTTTATGAAAAGTCTTTTATAAGGATAAGATTTCTCCTTCTTATGGCTTTAGTCTTCCTTGGGCTTTAGTCTTCCTTCTCCCATAACACTTAAATATATTTTCCCAGAAAACTGAGGCTTAAAAGTCTCTTGACGAAATATAAGCCATTATTCCTGCAGGAGACAAATATGTCTGTTATGTATGTTATTTGAGATATATCCTTAAGACTCATCAAAGAAAAAACTGATTCTAATTACAAACGCCTAACAGAAGTCTCAGATGACCATCGAAATCTTTTCAAGTCGTCTAAAAATATCTTCTCAGAAATTATTTAAGGGTTCTTCTGAAGAAAACAAATCTATGAGACATAGTCTATTCATCCAGTTCAATTATTTTCACGTAAGATCAGGTCGTCTTAAAATAGGCTAAGAAGTCATACCGCAAATGAAATAAGTAATCCCAGAGCCAATTAAAAGTCCAGAAGACTGAAAATGTTACTTATATCCCTAAGAACATTCCTTATTTAGGATAAAGAAATATTTTCATTAGAAGCAAAGGATTGGTCTTATAAGGATGCTTTCTTAAGGAGTTTTCTTACTAAACCAGAAATTAAATTTCTTCGTGGGATTTTTTGAAATCTCTCTAAGAAGAACTGATGGTAAACAAGCGCCAAGATAAGTGACTATTGTCTTCTAATCATCTAAAGACTTCCGACTCGTGGATACAACACTTTCCTCAAAAATTCTCAGAGAATGAAGTCTTTGTCTCACAGAGCACTGAAGAAATTTCTCATTAAAAATCTGAGCATAAGGACTTTGAAAGGTCCTCTAATTTTCTTTCCAATTTCTCTTTAAAGAAAGCCAAAGAACTTTCAATCAAAAGATTTAAAAACCTGGCCATTGAAGACATTAAATTTCTCTAAAAACCTTCTTCTCCTATATCCCGCCGTTTTCAGGCTGAAGAAGCTTTAGTTTTTTTATTATAAAGAGTTTTAAGTCAAATTTTCTATTTTTTGGTAGGAATGCACTTCGATAAGTCTGTAGTCTTATCTCTGTCCTCGAGCTGAGAAAATCCAATTACCCCTAAATTTTGGAACTGGGTAGAAGTTCTCAACCGTACTCTCAGTCTCTCACTGAAAACTAACAAAGTAAGTCGTAGAAACATGAAATGTATGTTTGAGAGAGTAAGAGACCTTTAATTATTAGGGAGAACGATTGACGACTGTCACATATTGTAACGGAGAGTAGTCATTGGGATTACTCTCTTTATTCGAACCATATAGAAATTGCATTAAACATGAAAATTTCTCAGACTTGTTGGGAATATTTTGACCATCTGGGTTTATTTGAATCTTTTTTCTCAGTGACTTTTTGAATATCAGAACTTCCATCTCTGTCCTCGAGCTGAGAAAATTCAATTATTCCCTAATGCGAAGGGCAAAAGTTCTTTGCTCTCAATGGCTGTTTTCTGATTGGATATTTTTCAACTCTCAGAGGTGGTATTCATTATTCTCTCCGTTTTAAATACATCATATCGAGCATTGGTATGAGTGAGAGAATCTCTTGCTTTTGCTAATTTGTTCTCATTTTTATCCAAAAAACGGTCAGATTTATTTGATGCTCAGGGAGAATGATCTCTTATAATGAACCTCTTTAGTATGGAATCGAGTTATAGGGAAAGTTTGTTTATAGGCCTCTTGTGATAGATAAAATCTCTCATAATTTATTTAGCTAGTTCTCTAGCAATCTTCCCGCAAAAATTTGAATTTCTGTCTCTTTTCTTAAAATTTAAAATTTAAATGGACATCATTGCCTCATTGAGAATTTTTTATCTCCCTGACTGCGTTCATGATTTCTGAGAGAATATCATTGCCATTAATGAAGGGAATATCTCCATTATTACTAAAGGAAATTATTTTGAAAGAAACTATCGATTTTCTCCTTAATATTTGTTTGTTTTTCTTTTTTTCATACAGAAAATAATTGAAATAAATAAAAAACCAATAACTCAAATTTGGTGAAATTATTTTGATTATTATTATTATTATCAATAATAGTATGCATATATGTATGTATGTGTGGGTGTTTGTTTGCTTGTTTTGTTGTAGGGAAAAAGTGATTTTGTTTTTAAATATTTAACATAGATTACAATTTAAAACTAAAAATAAAAACTTAAGGCATACGATGTAAAGAAATCCGAAAAAAATATGATTATAAAAAATTAACTAGTTGCAAAATTAAAAATAAAAGAATCCTATAATAGTTTAGTATATATTTCATATATAAATTCTTAACTTAACAAATAAATGTATATAAATAAAATTTAATATTAAAATAAAACATAAAATTGTCATGGTTTCCTTTTTTTCGTAAAATCATATATACACTTGTTTTCTTTTTGGTTTTAATTAATTAAAAAAAATAATAATAATTACAACTAACAAAGACTAGTGGGTGACATTAAAAATTATTTTTTTTACAAAACTAAAAATAGGAAATGGTGCAAAGAAATATTCATTTAAATTATATAACAATAGCTTAGAACGTAAACATAACTTAAACAATAAACTTTGGTTTTTAAAAAACATACGCTCAATATTCTAGAATCCTTAGTTTTTCTTCATTTTTTTTTCAATTTTTTTCTTTGTAAAACAATTGTTTTTTGAACATATCATAAAAATCATAAAAAATTACACATAGACACAAATTATGTTTTTTGGATTTTTGTTTTTAAATTTTTGGTTTTAAAAATGTTTTTGTTTTTGTTAAAAATATTGTATACTTTTTTTTTTTTGGTTGCAACCTTTTGTGTTTGTGTAGTGGTATGTAAATGTTTTTTGTTTTATTTGTTGGTGTTGTTGTTGTTGTTGTGATGTAAAAGTTTCAAGACCTAACCTAGAATTGCCTTTTCCAAAAAAAAATCTTGCATTTCTTGAGCTAGGCCTAATTGTGGAATTTTTACTTTTTAAATAACTTTTCTTTTTTATTTGTATAGCATAAAAAAACTCTGTTTTAAAAATATTGTGTGTTTTTTCTTCTTCTTCTTCATCTTCAATATTATTTTTATAACAGGAAAACTTTGTCTATGTATTAATATTTCAACTATGCTTTGCTTTGCTTTGTATGCTGGGTTGCGTAAATGAGGTCGGTAATACAGTTTACACTAGGCTTGTAAAAGTCCTATAAGCTAAGATGTGTGGGTCTGGTACTTTCAAAATGTGTGTGTGTGTGGGTTTGCATGTCTTTTGAGAGGTCAAAGAAAATTTTTGCATGGGTTTCCTTAACAAATGCCATCTTTTTTTTCCTTCAGATGGCCTGGAAACCCCAGCTTTGCCTTAACATTTAGTTTAGATTTTCTTCCTTGCTAATCGTATGTTTGGCATATATTCCTATTTTCTTTTCAGGAATTTTTCTTTTTTTTTTCTGATTTCCTTCCTTGCAATTTGTGTAGGATTTTCTTTTTTGTTTTGGGTATGTGTGTGTGTTTGTTTTTTGTGTAGATGTGTTTCATTTTTGTTTGATCCTGGTTGGTAGTCGTGTTTTCATGTGTTTCACATTTACTCCAATTGTTCCAAAAAATTTGGAGATTTAAAATATTCGGGTACTGGATCGTCGAGACGTGAGATTATTTTATAGATTGATTTCTTCCACGATTGTTCTGTATCTTTGCCACCTTGTATAGCGCGGAAAAATTCACGTAATGTTTGCTCCACCACAAAACGGAAATTTTGGGGAACCTTTTTTTGTTTTTGTTTTTGGTTGAAAACATAACAGAAGGAAATGAAAAAGAAATTGCGAAATTAATAAATGAAATTTTTCGATAGAGAAATATTTTGCAATTGGAAATAAATTGTATTTTGTGGATAATTACCTCGATATGATTGTTGCGATTGTAGTGTAAATTCAAAACCCGATAGAGTTCACTATCGCCGCTAATGTGCAAGTCTTCGGCACATTTAACACCTTCGGTAACAGCTTGACGGGCATATTTCTCCATTTGTATATAGTAGAATTCTCTGTAAAATGGAAGTAAGTAGGAAAATTAGTAAAAAAAATAAAAAAATAATAAAACCTAAAAGTATGCTCTGAAAAGGTAATTAAACGCAACTCCTTAGAGTATGCTGCATTTTTGGTTTTCTTGGAAATAAACATAATTAATAAAATTATTTTTTTGTGGTGCCTAATAATATGTTATAGTAAATTTTTAGGTTGTCCTCCTAAAAGTATGCAATATTTTTATTTTTTATTTTAGACTTGGCCGTGTAAATGAAAATTCTAAGAATTTTGCTTCTATTTGAAATATGATATTATATTTCATATATTTTATCATCATATATTCCCAAAATTATGCAATATTTTTACCCTTTCAAGATTTTTGATTAGACCATGTAATTTACAAATTAAAAAACATTCTTTTAATTTGTTGTAATTTATGGTATTACGATTTATTCAGTTTCTTTTTTTTTCTAAAATATTCCCTCCCAAAAGTATGCAATTTTTTCAACGATTTTCAATTTAGCCGTGTAAAGAAAAGTTTCCAATATTTCTGAGATTTGTTTAAAAAATCTATTTTGTAAGAATCTTCCCTTTTAAAACTCTCTAGTCTGCAATCATGTCATAATTTTTCTCCCAAAAATATGCTATACTTTTGAGAATTGTTTTTTTTCCAATCTTCGTCTAAAAATCTCCATTATTTTCAATGACTTTTTGCCAAAGCCTTAATATTTTTTATTCGAATTCAAGCGGAGTCCGCCTAATTGTATGCAATATTTTTTCCTCCTATAATTTTAGAACTTGTTGTTTTAAATCGAAAACTCTATTTGCTCCCAAAAGTATGCAATATTTTTTAATGTTTTTTTTCAAATCCTTGCAAATTTCCAAGATTTTCTCCCCTTCTCCTTTACAAAATCTCTATTGTCAACAATCATTTATTTTTTCTTAAACTTTGCCAAAGCCTTGGTGTGACTATTTCTCTAATTCCCCCAGAGTCTTGTGCTTGTTTTTCAACACAATGTTCAATAAGAAAAAAAAACGGCATCGGCATCAGTATCAGCATCATCATCCTCATCTGCAATCGCAATCGCAGTCTTTTGCGCCAATGTGGTGTAGTTGTCATTGTTTTTAATCATTTCTTGTTTGTGTTTTGTTTATAATTTTTTTTTTTGCTGCTGCCTACTTTTAGGTGCAATCAACAATAAACGTTAGCTGCAGTATCAGCCTCAGTCCTTGTCGTAGAAATATTGTTGCTGTTGTTGTTGTTGTTTTCTACCACGGGGGAATTTATTATTTAGCGCGTTTATAATTTGACATCTAGCAAGTTGTCAGAGCATGAGAAAGACAGCAAAACGGCAATGGCAAGGAGTGCAAAGGATTTGGTGTGACAACAGCCGTGCCAGCAACAACGATTGCAGTTTTATGTGTGAAAATTTGTTTTATTGTTCGGCAACAGAAACGTCACAAGAAACAATCTTTTGAATTTCTATTTGTCGTTGTTGTTGTTGTTATGCCAGCAAGTGAGCTTAGGGAAATCTTGAAATTAGCACGATTAAGAGTCGCTCGCCAAACGAGAATGGGAGGGGGGACAACATGACAATAACTATAAAGTGCTAGGGAAAGGAGGCGGAGGGGCAGGAGGATAAATGGAAAAGAAATCATGTGTGTCATAAATTGAATGGAACAGTTGTTTGAGGCACATGTGTGTATGACAAAATTGGGCTAGGTTAGTGAAAAACAGTGGCTCTCAAAAGTAGGCAACAAAATTTTTCACAATTACATTATAGACTAAGAAAAGTGAGGAATATTACATTATATTTGAATCATAGGTGTATGTATTTGATAAAAATGGTCTTAGCGCCTAAAAGTAGGCAACAAAATATTCAAACATTTATGCAATTAAATTTTTGATTCAAAAAATTTAAGAAGACAATGCAAAATTTGAATAATGCTCAAGTGTTTGATTAAATTGGTTTTAGCGCCCAAAAGTAGGCAACGAATGTTGTCAAATTTTTGCTATTAAATTTAAGACTCAGAAAAGGGAAGAAGACAATGTATCATTTGCATAATGTACTGTTGGTTAGCCACCCAAGACGTCAAAGTGATCTAAACGCCCAAAAGTAGGCACCAAAGTATGTAAATATTTACAAATATTTGGCTTTAAGAAATAATTTCTTTAAAACTAAACTATTTGCTTTGTTGTTGTTGTTGTTGCTAATGTCCCTCCCATCAGGATGATGATTATCCATTTGCCTAATTACCCTGCCTAAAGGACGACTTCAATTTCTTTCAATTTGATAATTTAGCCACAAAGTAGGCACTTGCAATAGAGGCTACGAAACGAAAACATAAAGGCAAACATTCACACACACAAGTTGTGCATCCTAGCAGCTATCTATCTATCTCTTCGTCATTCAATCTCAATTGAATTCTTTCAAGCCTACTTTTGTGTGCTAGCTCGCTCGCCCGCCCGACTGCTTGCATAAAGCAAAGAAAACAAATAATGATATTTCTTTGTTGGTGCTGTTGTTGTTGTTGCTGCTGCAGTACGAGGCTTCTTCATAATTTTAATTAATATTCTGCTTGTCTTCAGCTTCTTCTTCTACTTCTCCTCTTCTGTGGCAGCAACTGCACAGCAAAAACAAAAAACGCCTGCAATAGCAACTTATAAGCTAATCTATGCCTAAAGCTTTTACTAATTAAATCCCTTCGCTCTGGCAAGCGCCTCAATCAACAGCCTTGCCTTGCCTTGCCATGCCTCCATCAGAGTTGTGATATTCAATGCTGTGCGGTATGGTTGTTATCCATGTCCCAGTCCCAAACCCAGTATTGAGTCTCAGTCTCCAGCGGGGTTGGACTAGTATGGCAAGAGTTAATAAGAATACTGCAAATATTGTTGCATACTTTTGTGGATTTTGAAACATAAGTCGTCGGCTGGGGTTGAGGGGGTCTGAGTTGGCGATGTTTTGTATTGTTGCCGTTTCTTCTGTCTGTTCTTTGCTGTGCACTCCCACAAACAAGCTGACACGAACACACACTCACAAGTACAAATACATTCGAGTTATGCACAATGCCATAAGAAACCCCCTTAAGAACTGCAATCAGTTGGGTTTTTTTTTCTCTGTGTCCTACACACACAAACAGCTGAGAGACAACGACGACAATGACGTTGATATAAATATTAGTAGAAATGTTTGTGTGTGTGTGTGTGTAGGTCTGTGTGATTGTATATTATTAATAATTTCTTTTTTTTTTTTGCTCTTGCACATTTGAGATTTATTAAAAATTCTTTAGATACTAAAGAGACACAAATGCACTCCTCCGAACATTGAAAATAATGCCTTTTTGCCAGAGACAAAGAAAGTAATACCCAAACACACACACAGAGAGAATCTACAATACATAAAGGATTTAATAAATTGCAAAAAGGACTTAATTTCTCCATGGGCAAAGATGTGAAAAGCATAACAAAGTCCCCAAGATATTGCGGCTTGAGGAGGAAGAGTATGGGATGGGGTTATAATTGTTGCATTAGAAGCAAGCTGGGAGGCCAATTAGATAATAAGTGCGCCTTAAAGTAGGCTGTGAATTATTAATAAAATTATATTTATGTGCATATGCTTCTCTCAGGTAGCATCAATGCATTTTTTTTTGTCAAAACCCAGAAATATATGTTTTTTGGAAAACATGAAAATGCTGCCTAAAAGTATGCAATACAATTTTAAAAATTCTTTTTTATTTTTTTAATAATTTGTCAAGAAGTAGTTAACATCCAGTACTGCTTATTTTTTGTATGCCTGAAATTAGGCAATAATTTATTCTTGAGAAATAGTTATCGTTTTTTTGCCTAAAACTATGCCATAGAATTTTTTAATTCATTGAGGAACTTTGTAGAATTCTTGTTTTATGATTTGTCTAGGAGAAGACAATATCTAGTACTACTTAATTTTTGTATGCCTGAAATTAGGCAATATTTTATCCTTGAAAAATAGTTATCGTTAAAAAACTATGTCATATAATTTTTATTTTATTGCGGAACTGTAAAGAATTCTAGTTTGATAATTTTTCAAGAAGTAGCCAGAATCTAGTACTACTTTATTTTATGTATGCCGGAAAATAGGCAATAATTTTTCGACTGGTTATTTGTTGTGTCATTAGTTATTATCAAATTTCAATTCCTGTGTTAATATTTTTTTATTTACTATTTAAATATATTTTTTATGAAAATATAAATATTTGTCTAAGAACTGAGAGTACTTTAAAGTTTTACCCAAAAGTAGGCAATACATTTGTAGTTAAAGATTGCCGCTTAATAGTATTAATTAATAGTAAATTTTTAATGGATTTTCTATGGGGTAATAAAAAAACATAATTTTTTGGACTATGGAATGTTGTAAGCCTTAAAGTAGGCATTGGAATTTAGTATTTATATAAATGAGCTCCTAAAAGTAGGCAACACAATCTCTTCCGCCTTAAATTAGGCAATTCAATTTGATGTTTATATAAATAAGAGTATCTGAAAATTGTACTCGCGCTTCCCCTAGGACATCCTTTTCATTTCCTTTCCTTTCTCTGTTAAAAACAACAAAAAGAACAACCTCATGTGGAAATTCAAGCATTTTCCCAACACTGAAGTTAAGTGGTGTTAAGATTATTTCAAGAAATAAAAATAAGCACGAGACAAGTGACAACTTTAGAAAGAAAGCGGAATAAAACGCACACATACATTCTCCATCGGAAATGGTTAAAGGACATTAGCACTTTGTTGTAGTATAAAGGCATTTGTACAACTACAACAACATTAAGTTGCAAAGAAAAGCCACTTAGGAAAATGTTTTTGGTTTTAGGAGGGGGAGCGCGCGCCTTTATATAATGAAATGCTTAAGTGCATTTTAAGGACCAAAGATCCTTCAGCTTCTTCTACGACACACATATGCAAATGTATGGCGCCTTTTGTGTGTTTGCTGGCATTTTCATAGACATGCAGTCAGCCGGTTAGCAGGCATATGAATGCCTGAGATTT